AAATTCAAATTGTCGAAAGAACTAAGACGCTATAAGACAGTCTATCAAATCATTTTCTAAATGCAAGTAAAGTTTCATAGCAAAAAAAACATAAATACAATTAGACTAAATTAATCTATATTATATAATCTATACTTCTATACTTATTATAATAAAGCGTAAACACACTTCTTTGGTGCCTAAGATTTCAGCATTTGCATATTTTTTTTAAATTCTTTTTTTAATAAAAAAAAACCCTACACTTACGAGGCGCTTTAGGCTATATATTTTCACGTCATTAAACTTAAGGGGTAAATGTTTTGGATAAAAACCCTAATGTGGGAAAGAGACCATAAGTTGTTGCCAACATCAAGAAAGTAAGATTGCCAAGGTTTGTCATGTCATGTCATTTTGACATTTGCTATCGATAATTTGACAAATGTAAACAGTAAAATAAAATTTTCATAATTTCATGCGAATGAAGCCGCACGGGAACAGCTACTATAATTATAAACATAAAATCTATAAACAGACGAACAGAACCGTTAGACATTGTTGTGATTCAGTTAAAAAATATACGATACGATTCCTAGTAATCATTCAATTTACTATACTAGATAAGCGATAAGTTATCAAAACTAGTGCCGGGTAATAAAAATTTAAGATAAATATCGACATTGATATTCTGAAATATCGATCTTAAAAAAGTATTCATTATATTAGTTAAAATCTGATAGTACTATTACTAGTAAGTAGTATTAGTTTAGTAATAAATAGTTAAGATATAATTTAAAATATTATTATTTACGATTTCAAATTGAAAAATTGTAAATAAAATTGTTTTCAAATAAAATATAAGGACTGATAACGCCTTACTTTTATGTACATACTAAAATAAATTATTACCCACCAATACATTATAAAATAAAATAAGTAATGAATATGGCAGTAATTCCTACTATCGTATGACAGCAAGCTGTCAGAAACACACAAGAGTGTTTACTTATATTTGTGTGATAAAATAGACAAATATAAAACTAACTACAGAAACGTAAAGACCAAATCGGATATTACAAGATAAAACTCAAACAAGTAAGGTTTTTACGAACGCTACTCAATTCTCGTTAATAAAATTTTATGTCCCGTAAATTCGCCTAAAGTCGGATAATAGTACACATAAGAAGGGATCAAGCGGGCATTAGTAACAGGTAATGTTATCCTAGAAATTTCTAGAGACTTTAATACAATTTATTTCATATTCTATGTAATACATTATAAAAAAAATAGACAAAAATTATCATAGAAACTTGTCAATACATTTAAAAACACAATCAAGTTTTCATGTTAAGATATCGATAAAATATTTTTCACAACACTAAATATTTATCAATAAATTTATAGATTTATATCATACTATCCGAGCATGTACATACTTTTCCATTACTTTTATCAAGTCAAGCACTATTTATCGTGATAAGGATTGTTTATATACGGAAACATAAATTTAGTTTACATAAATTACAAGTCCATATACACTCAACATAATAGAATTTCCACATGTACTAAAATCAACAAGGTTTTCGAATTAAATAACATTGATTTAGTTGGTTACCTGAAAATAAGCAATAGAATCAATTGGATTATTACGTATTATTAATAAAAAAAACTAGATGGCACATGTCCTTTCCTGAAATAAAAGAATAGCAATTGTCCATTTTTATATTACAACACCAGTCCTGAAAACCTAAATCGTCTAATTTAGGTTTTTAGTACACAGCCATTTCCACGACTAACATGAACACCCTTTCTTTATAGATATACTAGCTTTCGCCTGCGACTCCGCTCGCCTCTAATTTGAACAAAAACAGAGTGGCCCATGTGTTCTTCCAGACTATCCTCCCATCTCCTATTGTTCCGTAGTTTACCAAACATTGATCCATCTATCTATTTAAACTTTAACATTTATAATATTACATTTATATTATCTACAGTGGTAGTGCCCGCTTTAACATCTTAGCACTGCAGGGCCGGCACGCCCGGTGTAATACCACGACAACACAGAAGACAGGCGTGAAATGGAACCAATTCCGTGTTTCGTCTGATGAGTGTGGTGCCAGAGGCCTTATTTTAGTCCCTTTCTCTTTACCACCCTTTTCTTACAAGAAGAGGATGGGAAGAGGAAGGAAGAATTTGACGGTGGAGGATATTCATAGGAAGGGGAAATATCCTCTTTATGTGCGTCTCCTCCTCCGTCGGATAAGGGTAGGCATCGCATATGCAATTGCGGATGTCTATGGGCAGCGGTTGCTTCGTCATTTTGACGGATTGAGGTGGCCGCTTGCTCGTTTACCATATGTTATAAAAAAAAGAATATTAGTAAGATAATTATATATTATTGTCATCTTTATTTTGTCAATGAGAATATAGGTAGGACAGTATATACCTCATGTTTTTTTGTCGAAATCTAGTGTGATCAGCATTGACGTATTCTAATTCGTTACCACAACTAAAATACCCACGAGTACAGAACTAATTTTCAATTCCACAACTTAAATCGATTTCCAATATCCTGTTAGTTATGGAAAACTAGGTACATCGGTATTCGGAAACTATTTTAATTTATATGCGATCAGTTTTCAACGAGTTTTATTACGTGGGAAGTTGAAAGTGTGAAATAGAAATATATTTTTGTATTTATATTCCTGAATCGTAGTGTTGAGTTGTATAATAAATAAATATATACATATTAACCCAAAAAAAACTAACTTCTTGTTGTAAAAGCATAGGTGGTTCGGAGGTTTAAGCGTTTGACTTGTAAACTACAAGTCCTATTTTCGAATGCCATATACCAATGTGATTTTCGAATTACGTATGTATATAATTTACCCGGCGTTCTTTCGATGAAGGAAATCATGGCGGTGCAACCTGAGTATCGGCAAAGAAATACAAAGATATGCGTAAAGTCAACCAACCTGCAGTGATCCAACGTGATTGACTATGGCCTAGTCACCCCAACTATAAGGGTCCACACACCTTTGACTAAACTATCGCACAGTTGTTTAGTCCAGCTTTTATTAGTATATTTTTATATGGTGGTGAGCACACTACTCGATTTTTGTACAACGAAACAGTTGAATAGGCTTCTAAACAATCGACAATCAGACAGCAGTTGTGCGATAGTTTAATCAAAGGTAGGATTCTTGCACTTAGGATAGGCTCTGAGCCCCTTAGTAAGTACGTATAGTGAGCTAGTGATTAGATTTATTGTTAATAGCAAAATGCTAACACTTCCCTTTTTTTTATAAGATACCATAAATGGCAAATGAGCAAGCCACCTGAATCCACCGAAATGGAAAGCGACCGCTGCCCATAAACATCCGCAATCGCAGATGCTTTGCCTACCCTTTTTTTTTTTTAATTATACAATTCCTCTAGCATGGAAGCCAGAGCCTTTATTATGCTTCATATAATTCATCTGCATCATTACATTTTATCTCATACATTTTACTTTTTATTTACCTTCCCTTAACTGAGGAGGGAGGATGAGGAGACGCACATAAAGAGGACATTTCCCCTTTCTATGCGATTCCTCTACCGTCAAATCCACTTTTCCTTCCCATTCTTCCTTATTAAAAAAAGGGTGGAAAGGGAAGGGGACTAAAATGTGGCCTCCGGCACCACGCTCATCAGAGGAAACGCGGAATTTCTTCCACTTCACGCCTGTGTGTGGTCGTGGTATTACACCTGGTGAGCCGGCCCATTCGTGCGAAGATGTTAAAGCGGGCTCTACCACTGTTACTTTTACCACTCACATTGTGTTTTTTATCTTATCTATGATCAAAACAATTAAAACAAATAAATAGATACAACAAATTTATTACTTAAACATTACAATCATTAAATTATGAAAGAATACAATAACTTAAACAACTAATCTAAGGGTTAGGAGTAACAAGGACGAGGACGGGAGTGTACTTAGGGTCCCAGCCACCATTATTGGTCTGCGGGGTGAGGTCTCCACTCTTGTTTACATCTGAGATCTTAACAAATACAGCTTTAAATTTTTTATCGGTAGTATCGTCAGCAATAGCGCTGTCCAAATCATCGGCAGAACAACCGCTGGGGATAACTTGCTTGCCGGTGGTGTAGGGAGTTTCCTTGCCGTACTGCAAGTCCATGAAGTCATTGAGGATTCCTTCTAGAAGCTTCTTAGAGCTGGCGTTGGTGGTCGGGTCGTCGACACCCTTTGACAGCTCATCGATTGTGATTGTTGGGAGAGACATATTTGGTGTTCTGTGAAGGCAATATTCAATTAATTAATTTTTGATTTTAATTTCGACAATGTATCTTGCTTTATTACGATATTACGCAATGATGGTAGAAAAAATAATATGTTAACAGTCCTTTTGATAAAAATGAAGAAATTAGTAATTACAAACAAGTAAATAGTAAATAGCAAGGCTACAAAGATAGAACAGAACGATAAAACTTTTTAGTCCTCCTTGAAGGCTTTAGTTAGTAAATAATAATATAGGAGATTTCTGTCGATTTTTTAAATGTAAAAGGAGTTCATACAATTCAAGTTTTTTAATAATTTTATGTAAATGTTTCAAATATTTTAACTTTTATTATTACAATACACCAGTAAAGGGATAAAAACATCGCAGTACTTGAATAAAGCTTACAAACTGTTTTAAAATTCACAGGCAACTTAATGTTTAATTTGGTTTTCCTTTTAGAAACATCGCTTCACTAAATAAGGCAACCTCATTAAGTAAGTGCGAAAGTGCGCATAGTTTTTACATTGTTTCATTTATCTTATTTTAAACCATAACTTCTTTGTTTTACAGTTTAAAATCGACTGTAGTTAAATTTATTGTAAACAAAAAATCGCAGGATTTTTAAGGAGTTTTAATTTTACGGGTTTATACATTTCATCAATATTTAAGCGATCTTTGTTCAGCGAAGTAACTAATTCATTTTTTTTACAACTTAAAATAACCGGTAAATAAAATAATATTTGAAGTATTCATCGAATTATTAATCAAAAAAGTATCACTTAGGATTATTTTGTTTGTATATCGCTTTAGTACTCGTATCTCGTTATTTTTAAATTTAGTTTAATTTTGATTAAATTCTTTTCCAGATTTAATTATTTTATCACACTTATGTTGATTGATTATTATTAAAAGCAGTCTTATGTCGCGCAAAAATACATATCTGATTAGAATAATTAATAATTTCCTTTTAACAACAAAGACCGTGTTTGACGTTTTTTAAAATGGAAAAACAAGCCAATATATTCTTTACTTTATGTTGAAGTAAGTTTAAAAAGAAACTATCAGCTGCGGCTCCGAACACATGGAATTAAAAACATTTAGTAGCATATGTGATCTTCCAGACTATCATTTACATCTATGCTTAATTTCATCGAGATCCGTTCTGCCGTTTAAGCTACAAGCTCTAACACACAACCATCCATCCATATAAACTTTCTCATTTATAGTATTAAGTTAGATAATTACAAAAGTAAGAGTCAATTTTACAACGAAATACTCAACGGACGCAATCATAAACAGAATTATTGACATCATCGAAAACTTTATGCGTACAGAAAAGATTCCGATTCCCATTTAACTTAAAAGCCCCCGAAATAATAAAATATTTATTTCACATTAATACTGAAAATTTTAACTTAACTTCGCTTAAAAAAGCATTCTTATTCGACTTAAATAATCTACGCAAGAATGTAAAACAAGCACATTTTTAAAGCTAGTTTAAAACAACTTACTTTTAGTAAGGAACAGATGGCACGATGTGTCGTGAAGCGTAGCTGCGAACTGGCGACAGCTTGTGTATTCCCGGCTTTATAAATCACAGTCGAGCACGGGAAGATAAGGGTGGGCTTGTCATCATATCTATGACTGTACCATACCTTTATCTACCTGATACCGAATCTCCCACATGTTGCGGTTAATTTTTCGCATGAAATAATTTCCCATGTAATACTTCGATATCTATTTTCGAATATTATGACGACATATTCTATTATATATCGAGAAATTCGTCAATTTTGTTTATCATTTATAAGTAATTTGATTCATCAATGATTTCACTACTATTTTGAAACAAATAATAAACAAGGAAAAAAAGAGATTTTAATGCATAAACTCCTTTTTAGTAAATATACTTTACGAAGTTTCTTTGTAACTATATAAAAGTTATCAATCCGTACATCTGGATCTGTTTGTTTGGATTTATCAATTCTATGAAGCAAAAACTCCTGTTTCCGTATTACGTCAATAGTTCCATGTTTCAGATATTTTTACAAAAATATGTACATTAGTGGTTTATTATTCACTATCTTTAGCTCACGACTTCGCCCGCGTGAAATTAAAATATAACCTATGTCACTCACAGATAGATTAACCTTTTGACCTTTTTAACGGTAAAAGCATTTTAAAAACAGCCCAGTAGTTTTTGAATTATTTCAGTACATACAAAAGTACAAATCATTGCTCTTTATAATATTAGTGTAGATTTAAAGATAGTGTTCAATTTAAGTTAATCTCTTATATTTTTTTACTATTTTTATAGTCTGTATACAGGATAGTCTGGAAGAACACATAGGCTACTTACGTTGGTTTTTATTTTATATCCATGCGGGCAGAGTCGCGGGCGAAAGCTAGTAGTATAAGACAGGAACTTCTAAATGTACGAAATGCCCTAAATTTAGGACACTATAAGTGCTATTACATTATCTTTTGCCATTTTTTGCGAAATGTGTACTTTAGATACGGTTTTTAGGCTAACCGAAGTCTTCTTGTTATCAAACTGTTATTTGAAGTGTATTTCTCCCGGTTATATTCCATGATATTAGCGAATAAAAACGAAGCGATAGTTATAGCAACCATTTCACTTGACAATTTCAACACTTGATGTCTATTAGAGAGCGAGCACGCCTTTGACCAAACGATCGCACAACTGTTTTGCCTCGCTTTGATTTCTATGAGCTTAAATGGAGGTGCGAACGCTACTCGATTTTCAGTTGTGCAACTAAACAGTTAAATTATCTGCGAAACAATGGACAATCGCACAACAGTGGGGCGATCGTTTATTCAAAGGTGCGCACGCTCTTACTACAAATTCAAATTATATTATAGCTACTCATATATGACTATTTTTTCCTGGTACAATTAGTGAATTATTATTAATCACAATTAGTGAATAGTATTGAATACTAAGAATACATGATATTTGTGACAAACAATATTATCCCTGTTATTTCCAAGGAATTTAGAATAACTCTATGTTCAAAATATGAGAATGAAACAGGTAATAATGACCAATTTTTACTCGTGCGCAGAAACTTTGTTGATGGCCATATGACGTCATGCGTTAACTGACGGTACTAAGACTGGGTCGGTGTTAGTGTAAGGTGTAGTGTAGTAATCGAGAAACCTTTTGTGCACCGCTTGTAAAGGATGAGTCATTTTCTATATATATATAATAAAATTAAAGTGTTTGTAATAATTCGGGAAGATGATGTATTTGCGTTGCTGATAACGAAAATCGCATTTAAAATTTTTATGTCTGTCTTCCGCAAGCCGCAACCTGAGAAACGGCTGGGCCGATCTCGACAAGACTTTCACTGGAGGGCAGCTGACATGGATAGGCATATTATAGGCTACTTTTTTATTTCCCCGCTGTCAAAATGACGTAACAGACGTGTAAATTTGCGCTAACTAAGTTTGCAGGTGCCAGCTCGTTTCTAAATAAATTTATGTTATCCTTACATATACATGAAAGATTGCGACTTTGCCATAGTTATAACGAAAAACTATTACTGTATTAAATGTTTGTCTATCCGCAGTACCGCGTTTGTTCCGCGTAGTCTCCGAATCAGCTAGACTGATCCTGTCTTAAGTATGACTGGATGATAACTACGCTTCTTTTTTTAATTATAGGTTACTTTTTATTATAATAATACTGCATTGATAAAGTCGCGGGCAAGCGCTAGTTAATACTATAAAAAGCCGTTTGTCTTGACCGCTGCCTGTCAAAATTATCAGCTTGATTACGACTACGTTTATCCGGCATTTCGTTTCGTACAAATTCTTCCGCTATACACAAGGAATTGCGATCTCATCCAATAAGATAACTAACGTTATATTTGAAATACCCAAAACTGTACATGATTTGGTTTCAGGTTTTTTCAGAAAGATAAAAATATGATAACAGATGTATTTCCCAATAAATTTTTATATATTATTTTAAATAGCATATGCGTCCAGAGATGGCATAGATTTTTAGAAAAATTCTGGAATTAAAAAAAAAACTTTAATTGAATTTTGCTCCATCGGTGTTGGAAAATATGAACACCTGAGCCCAGTCACAATCGTCCAGTTGTTTTGGAGATTACAAACTGCAACTTTTGGACGGAGGGATGGACTGTACTCACAAGCAACGACGATGCAAATCTCAACACTCGTAGTATATAACTAGTTTTATTTCTCCACCAGCTTTCGATTGCGACGCGAATTAAAAAAAGTGAGTGTTCTTTCTGACTATCAACTACATCTGTGCAAAATTTCATCGAGATCCGTTATGAAAACAAAAGAAAAAAGATTATTGATTGATCATTGACCTTTGATCATTTTAAATTCCAATGACCTTCCGCAGTTCTTAAATCGTTGTGAAATGACATTACCGAGACGATTCCATGACAGATAAGATAAAAAATATTGACAGGTCGATAATGGGGGGGAAACATAAGTTGTTTTTGCACGTGATTCAATCTTTACCATACATAAACATGATGTAAGTTCTTTTGTTATCGCGTGTAATAATTTTGTTGCAAAATCCTTGCAGCGCCAATGCAAGATTTGACAAACATTGCGAAAATAGATAGAAGCAAAGCAGCTAATGAAAAAATTTATGACTTTACGGCCGACTAAGTGTATACTGTTTGTTAAGTATTACAGCGTTGGGTAATTCAAAAAAAGTTAAAATAAAACTAAAGAGTAATATCATATTTGTCAAGTCAATATATTTACAGTATAGCTATTATAAACATTATTTGATGGTAATTTTATTGAAATTCTTCAATATGTTTTTATATAGCAATCTGTTTTGTTTTCGGGTTCGAGTTTTCCTTGGCTGCTTGTTTTGTGGGGTGTAGGTTATCTTGAGTTTACATGGGGGGTTGGATGGCGATCACGTCAACGGGGTTGACACTGATGTTTTCTGCCTCATCAACAACTATGACGGGGGTGGGGGCAATTTCAGGGGCGACAGGGCTCACCGCAACCTGAAATTTAGAACAAAACTTATAACAGCAGTGTTTTAAAAGCAATAACATACTATCTTGCATTATTAATCACATGTTAAATTCTAAAATAATTCAAATAGTTTATTTCTATCAAAATTACTACTTATTAAGTTCTCATATTATAATCTTTTTTTCAACTTAATTTTCACATTTTTCTTAGAACATAACTTAGCACATATACTAGTTGTCCTGGTCACGTACCAAGTCACAGCAAACATCTTCTTACCTGTTCTTGTTGGTTGATGTTGACGATGATCTGGACCAAGGGGCTGGAGGCGGGGGCCGCAGCGGGGGCTTCGGGAGCTGGCACCTCGGGGGCTGGCACCTCAGGGCTGGGTATGACTGGGGCAGGGACAACCTCGGGTAAGATGGGAGTGGGCAGAACTGGGGTAGCGATCACTGGGGCAGTGATGATGGGACTGCCAGCCTGGACGGGCGCCAGCTCGACAGGGATGACGACTGGCATGGTCTCCTGTAAAAGAAATAAAAGATAAATATGAACAAATCATCAACGTCTCTTTTGAGAAATAATATTATAATATTATATAATATTTATATCAAATAGCGGATAATGTGAAATGGCTATTTATTTTTGAATTCTTTTCGCTGATGTAATGCAGGCTTTCTAACATTTAAGTATCGACTTACGATATGTTGTCCGTTGAAGAGAGCGTCCATCATGGCGTTAAGGGCATCTTCAAGGTAGGGAACGATGGCGGGGTCGGTGGTAGGGCTCTGGAGAGCGTTAGACAACTCTTCCAGGGTCCATTGGGATGCTGTTGGCATGATGACAGCGACTGGAGCCTGGAAATATTATAAAACCTCTCATTTTAATTAACTATTTATTCTTTACTACCTATTTTTCTCTAAAATCGGCACAAATAATGACATTTTATTGGTTACTCGTCTGAAGTTTTTTTTTCTATAAGTCTCTATATTGTTTTCAAAATGTATTCTGATTCCATAATTAAAGTAATAGAATTTACTTACGACTGGTTTGTCGGCGTGCAGTTCCTCCATCATCTGGTTGAGTGCATGCTCTAAGTAAGGGATGTACTCGGGGTTAGTGTGCGGGTTCTGCAGGGCATCGGACAGCTCTTGTAGCGTCCATGCATGTGGGGAACCAGCGGCCAGAGCCAACACGGCGGCGAAAACAGCGAAGAATTTCATCTTTGTTTTTTTTTTCTGGAATTAAACGACTAATGTTTTATATTACAATGTTTTTTTTCTAGTTACTCTTTTTATCTTGTCGGCAAAATAATGTTTTTTCTTTTTTTAATATCAATATTAATCTTGATGTAGTTTAAAAGATATCGTAGACTACTTACCTTGTCCTGTAAGAATATGACAGTAAAAAAATAAAACCAAATATATATAGTTACAATTTTTGATAAAAATTATAGACCATATCACCAAAATGTTATTGCTTTAGGATTAAATTTTCATATCTAAGGAAGGTCCTAAAACTTTATTATGTTGTCATAAATCAAGATTACGCGTCACGGTAGTTTTACTTCGACCAAACTTTCGATTGTCATCAGATTTAGTTAACGATACTTTAAAGGTTATCCGAAACAATCCTAATATATTTATTCGAAGTCTCATTTTCCCAAATCAATTCTTCAAGACTTTAAGTATTATTTATAACTTTCATGACCTTGTTCTTATCCTCAGAATGTTTTGTTTGTGTCCATCAAAATCTGATTTACGTAGGTTTAAGTTTATCCGTAGACAGCTTATACGTTCCCACTACCAAGTTCACACTTGGCCAGTACAGTAAGAGAGTAACTAACGCTCAATAACTGGAATGTCAATAAACTGGCACAGTGTGAACGCTGTCACCAGTGAGTCAATAAAAGCTATGACTGATTGTCACAATTGTTCAACAGTATTGGTTAAATATGAACCCGAATAACAAGTAACTATTGTGCCCAGTTCACAAATGGCCAGTACAGTTGAATATAGAACTAAATATCTAGACAAGCTTTCAACTAGCATAATGTAAACACTAACTGGCACCAGTGACTCCATACAACACATCCCTTATCTGCATTACTGTCCAACTGTACTGGCCAAGTGTGAACCTTGCAGCCAACCACGCTGGCTTAATGCGGATTGATTGATTGACTTCAAAATGTGAAATTAGAAAACAAAAACACATTGCTACGTAACGTGGATTGAATCACACCGGTCATGTGGTGCGCTTGATGTAGCGCTTAACAGTAGTTAAACATATGCCAAGTAATATCACATGTAAGTCATGTTTAAGTATAACTTTACAATTATTAGATTACGCGTTAAAAAAACCTGAACGTTCAATGTACCTACTTATAAATCAAAATTCGCGCCATATTGCATTTAAAAAAATTGGAATTTTTCTACTATAATTTAGATATATAGGTAATAATTTATTTGGCAATAACTTTTATTAGATAGTTACCCAATATCTAAATGATATACCTGATAAATTACGTTCAGACAGCAAAAACTATGGCAAACTTTGTTCAATTGGAAATACCAATTCTACATTGTATACAATATAACTACAAAGGAGGTTTAAGTAATTCAAGGAATAATTTCGTTACTTTTTAGTGTATTGTTAACTTTCAGAATATTTTGTTTTTAGTTTATTTTGTTTGGAAATCGGTTTTGTTTTTTGTTTCAAATTAATGTTATTTTGGTGGCTAATCGAGATTTAGCATTTCTTTTTTTCATTAAATTAGTTTTATCTCTACAATATGTGTATATTTGATTTTTTTTCTCTCGACTGCAGCTGTTCCGCGCATGGACTAGCGCAGGCTGGCGTAAGTTCAGTGCCGAATATATAATACTGCTGTACAAGTTTTCGTTTCATCTATTACGAGTATAAGTATATACGAGTATAATGACATTATTGTACTGCCGTTTGTTGCTATTTCAAATCGCAGATATAATTTATATTGAGACAAAAATCCATTAATACGTATTCGGTAGGATTACAGAATGTAATAAAAATTAAAGTTTCTGTATAGATATACAGGCTTTCGCCCGCGACTTCGTCCTCGTGTAATTAAAAAAATGTGTTCCTTTAGACTCTTTATCTATGCCAAATTTTATCGAGATCCGGGGAGCGGTTTGGGTTACAAACGATGATATAGCAAACATCCATCCATGGAAACTTTCACATTTATAACATTGTTATCATAATCATACTAATATTATAAATGCGAAAGTTTAAATGGTTGGATGGATGTTTGTTAGAGTTGGTTGCCTAAACAGAACGGATTTAGATAAAATTTGACATAGATGTAGAGCATAGCCAGGAAAACCACATATGCTACATACTATTTTTTTTTATTTCCACGCGGACGAAGTCGCGGGCGAAAGCTGGTAAATGAAACACTGAGAAATAATGGAATGTATTTATTGAACACAACAATATTACAATTAATTTATAATACCAAGTCTCATTGTTATAAATGTTGCCAATTACAAAAATAAAATACAAATTATGTACATAGAGTAAAAAAAATATTTTATTTTCTTACAAATTTAAAATCGAAGGTACATAACATAATTGAATTAACCATTTTAATAAGAATGGCACATAGCAAAGACTATTCATCTTCAAATTTTAATTAAAATTAAAACACTCTGATTTTCTTATAATATTTTATTAACATCTTAACTAAATCAGTATATTAAATATTACATATATAATACAATAAACTTTTCGTAAGTCACAATAAATTGTTGCCTGAAACAAACATAAATCATATAGATAAAAAATCCAAATGAATTCAATTATCTAAAAAGAAACATTCCATAGTTGTTACCGATTTTTCTAAATAAAGCAATCTCACCGGTTTATATAGATTATGATAAAAAACCAATGAATAAGACGATAAATCGATAAAATATTGTAATTAAAAAACAAACAAGTTAATCTTACGTGTCAGATTAGATCTATAATTCCAATGGCGTCTTGTGCTTGTTAAGTCTCCGCGGCGGATATTGCGAGCAACTTCTTATATGAACCCGCTACAGAACGAGCCGCTAGGGAAAGGATTTCTCTTCTGCTTACCCCTGTTGTCGCCTCTTGCCAGTCTGTTTGAGGTACCTAAAACAAATATCATTTATAAAAAAAAAAACAGTTTAAAAATTAGAATTAAAACACAGATTGTGGAAAAATATGCCATCCGCCATTATACGTCAGCGGCCATCTTGTATTTCTCATAGAGTATAGATTCGACTAGACAAGTCACAACCATGCAATCTAGATTCCTTGATGTTGTCAGCTTGTAGTTTAAAGTCCTTTTCTCACATGTAGGTTTTTTCCAATTTATTTACGCCGTAAATTTAATAGCGTAAAAATAACAGCATATTTTTGAATAATTCCTATTCATTGATATAATAAAGCCGAAACACTCACTACTTCGTGGCGTAGGATATCAGCAATCACAGCATGGTTTTGAATAATTCTTTAATAAAAAGCCCTATAATTACGACACGCTTTAGGCTATAAGTTTTCACGACATTAAACTTAGGGTCCATCCAAAAAATTTACCATATTTTGGATGGACCCTAATGTGAGAAAGAGATCGTAAGTTGCTGCCAACATCAAGAAAGCAAGATTGTTAAGGTTCGCATGTTATGGCATTTTGAGGAGACGCACATAAAGAGGGTATTCCCCTTCCTATGCATCTCCTCCACCGTCAAATCCACTTCCCCTTTCCATCCTCTCTCTTATGAGAAAAAGGTGGTAAAGAGAAATGGACTTAAATTAGGCCTCCGGCACCACACTCATCAGACGAAACACGGAATTGATTCCATTTCACGGCTGTCTTCTGTGTGGTCGTGGGG